TCAAAATCGCAATTTTTCTTCAGTTTTTGACGTCCAACGTCCATTTCGTGTGAAAAGGTTGCACGCGACTAACTAAAATCGCAATTTTACTTCAGTTTTTGACGTCCAACATCCATTTCGTGCAGGGTTGCGATGGACTAACTAAAATCGCAATTTTACATCAGTTTTTGACGTCCAACGTCCATTTCGTGCGAAAGGGTTGCGATGGGCCAAGTAAAATCGCAATTTTACTTCAGTTTTTGACGTCCCACGTCCATTTCGTGCGAAAGGGTTGCGATGGGCCAAGTAAAATCACAAGTTTACGTCAGTTTTTGACGTCCAACGTCCATTTCGTGCGAAAGGGTTGCGATGGACTAACTAAAATCGCAATTTTTCCTCAGTTTTTCCCCACATCTTTGTGTGGGGTTCTTGTTTTTGATTCTGTATCCCGGGCTCCTTCTCCTCCTCCCGCCTCCTCCTCATACAATAATTTCACACACATAAACTTAACATACAATAATTTAACACACACACACACATACCACAATAAACTTAACATACAATAATTTCACACACACAAACTTAACATACATTAATTTCACACCACACAAACTTAACATACAATAATCTCACACTAACTTCACATACAATAATTTAACACACACACACACAATAATTTAACACACACACACAAACACACACACACACAAACACACCTTGATTTCACGTGGCAGGCGTGGCACAACCTCACATCTACCGTCGTTTTGTGTGGCAGGCGTGGCAGGCGTGGGACAGATGGCACTGGGTGGCGCGCTTGGACCGGCTTGGGCGCCTGTGACGCCGCGGCACTTTGCTTGGCAGGCGTGGCACAAACTCACACGTACTGTCATTTTGCGTGGCAGGCGTGGCACAAACTCACATCTACCGTCGTTTTGTGTGGCAGGCGTGGGACAGATGGCACTGGGTGGCGCGCTTGGCCCGGCTTGGGCGCCTGTGACGCCGCGGCACTTTGCGTGGCAGGCGTGGCACAAACTCACACGTACTGTCATTTTGCGTGGCAGGCGTGGCACAAACTCACATCTACCGTCGTTTTGTGTGGCAGGCGTGGGACAGATGGCACTGGGTGGCGCGCTTGGACCGGCTTGGGCGCCTGTGACGCCGCGGCACTTTGCGTGGCAGGCATGGCACAAACTCACACGTGCTGTCATTTTGCGTGGCAGGCATGGCACAAACTCACATCTACCGTCGTTTTGTGTGGCAGGCGTGGGACAGATGGCACTGGGTGGCGCGCTTGGACCGGCTTGGGCGCCTGTGACGCCGCGGCACTTTGCGTGGCAGGCGTGGCACAACCTCACACCCACCTTCGTTTCACGTGGCAGGCGTGGCACAAAGTTACATCTACCTTCGTTTTGCGTGGCAGGCGTGGCACTCATGGCACTGGGTGGCGCGCTTGGACCGGCTTGGGCGCCTGTGACGCCGCGGCACTTTGCGTGGCAGGCGTGGCACAACCTGACATCCACCTTCGTTTCACGTGGCAGGCGTGGCACAAACTCACATCCACCGTCGTTTTGCGTGGCAGGCGTGGGACAGATGGCACTGGGTGGCGCGCTTGGGCCGGCTTGGGCGCCTGTGACGCCGCGGCACTTTGCGTGGCAGGCGTGGCACAACCTGACATCCACCTTGGTTTCACGTGGCAGGCGTGGCACAAAGTCACATCCACCGTTGTTTTGCGTGGCAGGCGTGGGACAGATGGCACTGGGTGGCGCGCTTGGTCCGGCTTGGGCGCCTGTGACGCCGCGGCACTTTGCGTGGCAGGCGTGGCACAACCTGACATCCACCTTGGTTTCACGTGGCAGGCGTGGCACAAAGTCACATCCACCGTCGTTTTGCGTGGCAGGCGTGGGGCAGATGGCACTGCGTGGCGCGCTTGGACCGGCTTGGGCGCCTGTGACGCCGCGGCACTTTGCGTGGCAGGCGTGGCACAAACTTACACGTAGTGTCGTTTTGCGTGGCAGGCGTGGCACAAACTCACATCTACCGTCGTTTTGCGTGGTAGGCGTGGGACAGATGGCACTGGGTGGCGCGCTTGGAGACGCCGGGGCACTTTGCGTGGCAGGCGTGGCACAACTTGCAGTTGCATTTGTCATGCATGCATGCGCATGCATGCATGCATGCATGCATACATACATACATACATACATACCTACCGTTTTACCTTCTCGATCTTTCACCACCTCCTTTGTCTTTCCTTCCTTCTCCGACCCCGCTACAACCTTTGAAACAACTCATTATTGGAAGAAGTTGACTTGTGGGGTTATCCGGTCCTTTGATTGAGGTCCAACGTCCATTTCGTGCGAAAGGGTTGCGTTTCGTGGCGCTCCGGCGGCACCGCCCCCGTCTTAAGAGAGAGATAGAAAGAAGAGCGAGAGGAGATCTGCAGATGTGAAGGTGTGAAGATGTAGATCTGCAGAGAGGGTGTGAAGATGTAGATCTGCAGGTGTGAGGGTGTGAAGATGTAGATCAGCAGATGTGAGGGTGTGAAGATGTAGATCTGCAGGCGTGAAGATGTGAAGATGTAGATCAGCAGGTGTGAGGGTGTGAAGATGTAGATCTGCAGATGTGAGGGTGTGAAAATGTAGATCAGCAGATGTGAGGGTGTGAAGATGTAGATCAGCAGATGTGAAGGTGTGAAGATGCAGATCAGCAGATGTGAGGGTGTGAAGATGTAGATCAGCAGATGTGAAGGTGTGAAGATGTAGATCAGCAGATGTGAAGGTCTGAAGATGTATTACAACGGCTGCTTTTTTACGAAGAACCCTTCGCAGGCGCTCTCGGGAAAAAGCTTCTGCGCGTAAGATTTTCTGTGTGAACGCATTTTTGTGTAAAAACTTCTGTGTGTAAGGCTTCTCTGTGTAAAGGCTTTCCCGTGTAAAAGCTTCTGTGTGTAAAAGCTTCTGTGTGTAAAGCTCCTCTGTGTGTAAACGTTTCTGCGCGTAAAAGCTGCTCTGCGTAAAAGTTTCTTTGTGTAAAAGCGTCTGTGTAAAAGCTCCTCTGTGTGTACAAGCTTCTCTGTGTAAAAGCTCCTCTGTGTAAAGACGTGTCTGTGAAAAAGCCTCTGCGTATACAAGCTTTTCCGTGTAAAAGCTACTCTGTGTAAAAGCTGCTCTCTGTAAAAGGCTTCTCTGTGTAAAAGCCTCTGTGTGTGCAAGCTTCGCTGTGTCAAGACTACTCTGTATAAAGACTTCTCTGTGTAAAAGCTTCTGTGTGTAAAGCCTTTCCTGTGTAAAAGTTTCTGTGTGTAAAAGGCTCTGTGTGTGTAAAGTCCTCCCTGTGTGCGAGCTTCTCTGTGTAAAAGATCCTCCGTGTAAAGCTCCTCTGTGTAAAGCTCCTCTGTGTAAAAGCTGCTCTGTGTAAAACCCGCGCCAAACCCGTGCCAGCAGCTCCGCATTTTCAGTGCCACTCCCTCTCAGCAGAGCTCTTCTCAAGCTATTTCCCCACCTGTCCGTTCACGCTGATGCATATCCTATGCTTGGGTTATCGTTTATTTTGCTTCGCGGCAAAGGGAGCGAAAACCGAGCATCGACGACAGAACGCCGTGCAAAATGAAAACCCCTCCAGCAAAGAACTTTTCCCCATGCATGTCCGGCATGTTCCTTTGCCCAGCGTTTAGACACCGTTCAAGAAGTTTTTGGCACCAGTTTTTCGGGGCAATCGCGTTGATGGAATTTGTCCTGAAAAATCCGTGCCAGCAGCTCTGCTCTTTTAGTCTCCCTCCCTGCCAACGAAGCTATGCATGTCCCATCGCACAGGGTTTGGAAACTTTGGCAGGTCTTGAGCGCACAGTTTTTCGGAACAATCGTATTGATGAAATTTGTCCTGAAAAACCCGTGCCAACAGCTGTGCGTTTTTAGCGTCGCCCCCTGCCAGCGAAGCTATGCATGTCCAATCGCCCAACGTTTGCAAACCACTTGAAAAGTCTTGGGCGCACAGTTTTTCGGGACAATCACATTGATGGAATTTGTCCTGAAAACCCGGGCCAACAGCTCTGCTTCTCAGTATGCCGCTTCCCCCCAACGGAGCTCACCCAAGCTATTTCCCACGGTTTCCCTTCCGTCCACCCTGTCGTCGCTTCCATCTCGCTCCCTCCCAAAAGAGCTCGCCCCGAGCTATTTCCCACAGTTTCCCGTCCGTCCACCCTGTCATCGCTTCCATCTCGCTCCCTCCCAAAAGAGCTCGCCCCGAGCTATTTCCCACGGTTTCCCTTCCGTCCACCCTGTCGTCGCTTCCATCTCGCTCCCTCCCAAAAGAGCTCGCCCCGAGCTATTTCCCACGGTTTCCCTTCCGTCCGCCCTGTCGTCGCTTCCGTATCGCTCCTTCCCCAACGGAGCTCTCCCAAAGCTATTTCCCACGATTTCCCCTCCGTCCACCCTGTCGTCGCTTCCATCTTGCTCCCTCCCACAGAGCTCTCCCCAAGTATTTCCCACGGTTTCCTGTCCGTCCACCCTGTCGTCTCTTTCGTATCGCTCCTTCCCAACGGAGCTCTCCCCAAGCTATTTCCGACGGTTACCCTCCCGTCCACCCTCTCGTCGCTTCTGTATCGCTCCCCTCGCGGGAAAGTCAACTAAACGAGAACCCAAGCATCAGAGATGCTTTTGGGAAAAAAGATTTCGTCCCAAATGGGTCTGTGATGCAGCCTATTTTTTCTGGAAGTTTGAGTTGTGTTTGTGCTTCGCTCCGGACTCAAACGCTTTGGAGACTTTGGAAGATATTCTTGAGCGGTCAATTTGACACACGATTGACGTTGCAGGCTCTAGCCTCCACCACATGCGAAACAGGTGCCTTTTTTGGGGAGGCTTCCTGCGTCAAGCTGCAATGTCGCAAAGAAAATTGCCAATTGTTGTCATTCTGCACTGGTGAATCAGTATCCAAAATAGTTTCCGAATCACCGCACAAAGACAGCAAGTCTTAACCAAGTATCTTCCTGCTCCCAGTGATACTTGAAACCCCAAATCACTTCGGGCGGAAAGAACATATGACATGCCAGTCCTCTGGCTCTGGTTCCTGGAACCGGTTCGGAAACACTGCAGACATCAGAGCCCTGAAATCAGAATCCCTTTGGAGGTGGGAAGCATCACAAAAACTTGTGCTGACCATTTCAAGAAAGGGTGTGCTTGCCTCGCAAGGCACGTTGAATTTCCCCAATGAGAATGGATACAGTGTGATACATGATATCCCTACTGGAAATAGCTTGCAAGTTGGGGAATGCGATCGTTCGTGCAACAAGTCGTGCAATTTGCGGCAGACAAGATGCAACCCCTTCGACACCGTGCCTCCTGAAAAGTACAACACGAGTTACACATAAATCGTTGGTGTACATGTAGAGCATGCAAAACTCACACAGCTTGTGCAGTTGCAGGGACGATCGTATGGCTTGAAGCTAATAGCAGTCTGTTTGTCTGTCTGTCTTTCTACTGATTTCTTTCCCATATATGGAGAGAGAGAGAGAGAGAAGAGAGAGAAGAGAGAGAGAGAGAGAGGTAGGTGCAATGTAGGTTGGGATAGGTTGCCAGGCGAGCTTGCAAACTAACAACCCCGACCCTAAAATATGTTTTGGCCTCGTTCTCATCTTTATCAAGAGATGCGTTGATTCTTGGCACACGTTGTGCCTGCTTGCTGTCCAGAGAGTGCAAATGTTAGTGTTGTATTCGCCTCTCTCCTATGTATCCATGTGGCAGCGTTGACTCCAAAGCCAACATAGCCTGGGCAGTTTCAGCCTCTCTAGAATCTAATACAGTCCTCACCACATGCTTGGAAACCTGTGTACAGGAAACCATCCCTCCACGCAGGTGAAATAATTCTGAAAGAGCTGCGGCCTTGTCAATCTTCTCAGGATCTTGCGCTGCATCGCTTTTAGGTCCAGGTTTTTCCTGCATTTTGGCCTCACAACATTACACGTTGTAACAGGCCACTCATTGACATCTCCCTTTGGTATTTTAGTCCGCAGCTGGCCTTTTCAGCATGTTCGATGGTTTCCTGCGAGACAGTCGGGATAAAGTAAAAACATGTACGTAGACTCGTTGAATGGAGCACACCTGAACTGGATTCTCTGACTGATCTTTGATGAGCCGTGATCGTCAAATCTTAGCTCCTAAAGCCAACAATAGCGAAGTCAAGTATCTGGTCCATTCACAGATTCCAGGAGCATGGTTATGCTTTTCTTCAGACTTTGTTTCACTAAACACAGTCTGGCATGATCATACGCGCAGTCCTGCGCCCGATATACTCCGTAGATACACGTAATTCCCATGGATACCACCCAAAGCCACATTGCCACATTCAGCGCAGCGGTGACGGTCAGCAAAAGCACGGTGTTCCTGAACACCAACTGGAACACCAAACATCCAAAAGCATCAGAGCATCATGCGGTTGGGCAGAGGATAGCAGAGGTTGCGGCCGCAAGACGCCTAATGTCAGCACACAAACCTAAGCTACAAGGTCAATTGCAGCCCTGGATATCATGCACACTTGACAGACGTAGGAAGACAAGATGTAGCATGCTGCAGCAAACTTCTAAGCAAAGCAGCTGTCACCAAAAACACGAGGAATGGCATGCTCCTGGCCACGTATGCTGCAGTTCTTTCCTGGCCAAATAGATCAGGAAAAGGATGACAGATCCCACTCTCAGCGGCATGTCCGAGGAGATCAGAGGGATCAGTTTGTCAAGATTTGTCAAGCACTAAATTCACTAAATGTCAAAATGTCACATGACAGGTTATGACAGGGGAAAGGTACTGAGTCATCTGAGTCCTGAGTGATCCCAGACATTCCTCAAGAAAGTTTACCTCTGCGGCTCTTCAGGTTTCCATCGAAAATGGTTTGCCGAAATCAACAAGGCGGCTCTACCTCATGGATATTCACCTTAAAGAATTCACGCGGCTTTTCCGCAGTCTTGCTTTTGTCCATCTGCCGTTTGCATCGAAATGTAGAAACCTGAGCAGAAGAACAGAAGCAAAGTTAGTCACAGCTAGCCATATGCAGCCTCAGACTTTGCGGTCCATCTTGGCTCTGCGCTGGGTGTTCGGTACCGGAAAGACCACAATGGCTGGTTGAGCCAGTGGCTCGAGAAGCAGCAGCAATCACCGCTGGAGTGTTGCAAAAATAATTGAATCATTCCCTTACGTGCAAACACATGCGTGCACATATTATGCATACACGCAGGAGCACACGCGGGCACGCATGCAAGTAGGCATGCAAGAACAAACACACCCAACACACATCCAACACAAATGATTCGTCACCCGGCAATCGGTGAAGAGAACAGTCCTTACTTATTGTTTGTGTCAGGCAAAGGCGCATCGAACGGCAAGATGAGTTGGTGTGTCACCTCCGTCAACACGTTTCTTCAGTACCAGCTGACAGGTACAGCACAGCAAACCTACTGCTTTCAATGCACACAAATGTTTGCAATGATTTTTAATGTGTCTCGTTGCTGGTTGTTCTGTGCAACAAGGGAGTGACACGAAAGCCCAAGCAATGGAATCAGCCAAACAGAATAGCATACCTTCATCGCATTTATATGCTTTTGTGCTAAACAATCCGTTTCAGGTCAGCGCACTTCTTTTCTGGCTGCTCAACGATCTCAGCCCTTGCCTTTGGCACTTCTTTGAGTCAAAGAGCAATGTAGTCGTGCCAACGCACAGTCGAGCACTTGGACTACGAGTTCGACTGAGTGGTGCAAGCTTTCATGCTCACCTGCTCACCTGCTCACCTGCTCACCTAGTAGGGGCCTGCAAAACCGGATGGCAAAATTGAAATCAACTTGAAGAAAATCACTGGCGCCAGTTGCATCAAACAAGAAGCAGCTCTGCGACCTGCCTGGTCGAAAGCCTTTGCCAAAACCACCCTTTTTGCCAAACCCCTTCCCATCAGCTCCAAAGCCATCAAAGCCTTTCCCATCGTGCCAGCCTTTTCCATCAAAGCCACCTTTCCCGTCAAAGCCAAATCCCTTGCCATCGCCAAATCCCTTGCCTGCATCTAACCCCTTGCCACCATCGAAGCCTTTGCACCCATCCCCAAAGCCCTTCCCACTGTCAAACTTTCCATCGCCTTGGCCAACAATATCAACAAGCTCAATAAGATCAATACGAACAATAACCCGATAAGTCATCAACTAAAAATCCAACCGCTAAGATCTGCAGAGATCTGCAGCCTGCATTTGACTCTCTAAAGGCTTTTGAGGAGCCGCTGCAGCCATGTTGCCTTTACCGAAGCCTTTTTTACCCTTCTCAGCAGGGCCTCAGTTTGTGCAAAGAAGCACAAAACCGGATCCATGTTCGTAGACAGCAAGACGTAGCAAAACTGGCATCGATCAAGCATCTATCGAGCGCCAGGCCTGAGGTCTTGCCAACCTACAACGCTGTAGTCAGACGGAACACCACAGGAGTCTCAATGTCATCTGCGTTGTCCAACTTTAAAAGGTTTCAGGTAATGTGTTTGTTTCCGAGGGGTTCATTCAAGTCCTTTCATTGGTAGAGTCATTTCAGCCTTCGCCGCATCAAAACCTAGCATACTGATGCAGTGATGCATACTACTCCTGTCATTTTCATGTCAGACTGTCATTCCCATGTCATGCCTCTGGTGGAGCAGGTGGTGCAGGTGGCGGAGGAGCTGGTGGAGCCGGCCTTGGTACACAGAAAATGTGCTGCGATGTGCTGCGATTTGTTCGATGTGATTCAAGCATGCCACCGGCCCGTTGCCTTCAAAGCATCACAACAGAGAGCCAGGTGATGTCGACTCGATGTAGATGATGTTCGAACATGTTGGAACTGTATATGTCTATTTCTTCAGGTTCCATCCATTTCCTCAGAATCGAACTCAAATTTGAATATGTAGATGTTGATAGTTCGTTGCCGCCACCGCTGCATGAATGGTATAGAACTTTGAAAATAATCGTGTATACAACATATATATATATGGCATGCTAGCCTGATTGTACCAGAAAGAGAGACGATGGAACATCAAGTCAAGGCTGTGAGAACCCAATGTGAGGAGACAAGGCGGGAGACAAGGTAGCCATGGCGATTTGTGCCAAAGTCCTGGATATCGAACAGACCTTTGGCTTCCAACTATCTGGGAAATTATATAGATGAAATTAGTATTTCTTAAAGGGCAACGAAAGCCCTGCAAAGAGTTTCTGCACTTTCTCTACTTCGTTGTTTTTGCTGTCCTTGGAAGAGTCGTAGAGAAGCTGAATACTCAACTGTTTGCATCTGTTTGCCATCTCCAAAAGCTCACTGGCTTTCTTGGATCGAACAAGTGCTCGACGGTGGCGGAGTTGCTGGTGTCACCTGCAGGCTGTGGAACTTTACACAGATTCTGCAGCGCTTTCTGCAGATCTATGTATAAAATATTCGCATACCGGGCTGACATTTGACGTTTGCCCCAAATCAACAGAATTCGATGCGGGACTGCAGTCTGCTTTGTTACTTCAGCGCGTTTCTCGTAACTGCAAACATGCAAAATATTGAAATCGCTTGCGTCTCGTTGCATCTTTGGGCTTACCTAATTGGTGGCAAAACCACCTTTGGAACCATGTCTTCAAAATATTCCCATAATTTGCAATGTTTCGAGCCTCAAACTAAACCGCATAAGAAAGAAACCCTAAATAGACTCCCCAAAAAAAAACTGCAAAAACTCTGAGCTGACTAAACCCCAAAACAAAACATTGGGCGAACGTCCGCTCCTATAAAATCGCTGTATTATGTATATATATATATTATATTATATTATATTATATTTATTTATTTATTATTTATTTATTTATCTATTTATATATATATATACGTATATATATATACACATAATTAAACACGTACAGTATTGACATGTATTGACAGTATTGACATAAAAATATAAGTCACATGATGAATTGCTGACACAAAGAGGAGGGGAGCGGTTTCAGCAGTTCAGCGCGTCCCAACCTGATTCACAGTGATGCCAGGCCTGGGCTTCATTCTGGGACACTTCGAACAGGTCTGGTCCATTTCTTGACAATTTCTGGTCCATTTCTCTGTCCCATGCTGTCCCAGGCTGTCCCTCAGGCCACGCGCATTGCTCCGACTTGCTCTTTGGCCTACAGCGCTCTCAGACGTAAACGTAGACACTAAGGGGAGGAATGTTTCGAATGCTGCGAGAAGAACAAAGAACAAAAGAAGAGAGACAACCCAACTCGCCAAGTAAGTACGAAGTGAGTTTGTGAATCTTTAGACGACTTGATGCCCTAATAAGAGTAAACCCACCACAAAAATCCACAACATACATCTGCTGTTGTTTTGCATATTTCTCCCAATCCATGCGAGTCTATGGTTAAAAGGATTGTAACAATGATCCAAAATCGCTGCTGGGTTTTGCTCCACACTCTCTTTGTCGTCAGTGCTTATCCAAAAATACTCATGGACTCGTGCACAGACCCCAGAAACGGCATATCATGGAGCGCATGTCCATGCAGTCGAGACAGTCAAAGTGAAGAAGGGAACGTCATTGCCACGCACGGGGGGTGGATCGCGGGGAGTCTGGGGTCTGTGTGTGTGTGTGTGCAGGCCTGGCCTGTTGAAACAAAACTGCCAAAGCCAATCCGAAGCTAAGCCGCGATATCCCGCCTGCTCAATCTGCTGCTCATCTCCTTTTTTCAGTTGAACCTGCAACAGTTCAGTGATCAGCTAAAAGTACCTAGAATCCAGAAGTGTCCATGTTTTGAGGAGCTAAAATAGTTGATCTTGGCCTTCAGCCATTTGCCTTCCACGGGGAAGCCATGCCTCGGAATTGAAGATCAACAGGCTGGGACTTGGATCAAAGCCCGGTGCGTTGAAACTATATAAAGGTTCCGAGCACCGCACATACCCGCAATGGCAGCCTGAATCGACGAGAATCCATATACCGCTATATGAAATTTTATAGGTGCATCTGACATGTCCGATGCAATGATGCCACATTGAGACATCATTGAGACATGAGCACAGTCCGTTCAACCTCTGGTCAAGACTAGTGCCTGAGCTGAAGTTGGCGCATCGAAGGACACGAAACCAAAGCCACGAGGCCGTCCACTGTCGTCCTTCTGAACCCTGGTGTGGCACGTGCGTGAAGGTAGGAACAAAACAAACTCCTGAAGGCACTGCGTCTTTCACAACGTTGCACCATTTTGCATTGGCATAGATAGAATAGATGCTCACTGCCAAGTTGCCTGCAGCTCAAAATCTTGCCGAAGTGCTCAAAGTGCTGGCGAAGAATATCTGACAATGCGGTCAAGGGGTCGAAATTTGGGCTATGAGTGCAGAAGCAGATGAACCCCAAATTGGATACTGGGCATGGCGCGATCATCCCAACTGTTTGGAATGTGGTAAACCTGCAAGCACAAGCAATTTGAAACAGTCAGGAATTGTCACGACAGTGCACCACACTATGCGCTGGGTAAGGCACGAAAAGATTCGAGCCGACCGGACCAGATACTGTGGATCCAGGGTCTGTCCCCTCAGAGGTGGGTCAGTGGTCCATTCAAGAACTTTTCGCGAATCGAAAATATTGCCAAACATTGCAAAGTTTTGGAAGAAATTAAAGGTCTCGACATGAGCAGCCGCAACAACATCTTGGGCTGCACGAATTGCAGCCTGGGCCTGTTAGGACCATTCAGGTCGAAAACTGTTTCAAACCGTGGAACTGTTCTCGCCCCTTCAACTGACAGGAGGTTGGTTTGACAATCTAAATCTAGTTGCTCCCAAACCATGTAACATATATATAGTTCAATGCGAAAGTCCCCCAAAAGTCTCTTTGTTTCCAATTTCCGACCTCTCACAGAGATCTTGCCAACAGAGCTCTTATAGAGATCTTGTACAGAGAGCAAGAGACCTCTTATAGAGATCTTGTCCAGAGACCTGGTGAAGAGAGCAGCGATCTTGCTCGGAGATCTTGTACAGAGAGTGTGAACAGAGATCTTACTTTGAGAGCCCCTACAGAGATCTTATGTGGAGATCTCTTCTAGAGAGATCTCTTCAAGAGTCTGGTCAAGAGACCTCTGAAAGAATTTTGTGCACCGATCTTGCCAGGACACCTATTTTGGAGATCTTGTACAGAGACATTGCATAGAGATCTGTTGCAGAAATCTTACCAAGAGGTCTCTTACATAAATCTTACCAAGAGAACTCTTCTAGAGGAGATTTCATAAAGAGATCTTGTACAGAGACATTGCATAGAGATCTGTTGAGATCTTGCCAAGAGTCCCCTTACAGAGATCTTGCCAAGAGACCTCTTATAAAGCTCTCGTACAGAGATCTTGCCAGGACACCTCTTCTGGAGACCTTGTTCAGAGACATTGAATAGAGATCTGTTGCAGAGATCTTGCCAAGAGGTCAACCTTGCCAAGAAGGCTTTTTTAGAGAGCTTGAGATCTCATAAAGAGATCTTGCCGAGAGATCTCTTATAGATATCTTGTCCAGAAGTCTTGCCAAGAGACCTCTTCAAGAGATCTGCGCAGAGAGAGCTCTTACAGAGATCTTGTACGGAGATTTTGCCAGGAGACCTCTTATGGAGATCTTGTACAGGGACCTGGTGAAGAGAGCAGAGGTCTTGCTCGGAGGTCATTTACAGATAGCCTTACACAGGAATCTTGCACAGCAAGCAGCTTCTACAGAGAACCTGTCAAGGAGATCTTGCGCACGATCTTCTGCAGAGATCTTAACAAAGGTAACTTGCAGAATCTTACCTGGTATGTCTTCTTTCACTACTAGGAGGGTCGCTCTTGTCCTGCTAGCTTGCAGCCACTGATGATTTTATATAGGTCCTTTCCACCTTTCCCTTTAGAATCCTAACGACACACTGTTTGGAGTCTCTTGCCGGGATAGCATACGTATTGTTGACGTTGTCAAATGGGCCCAATCCGCACAATGGCATATTCACAAGGTCGCTGTATTGCTTTCCTTGGACCATGCCCAAAAGCCGACAGGAACTTGCCCCAAAACCCAGTGCAACTTACAGCACCCGGATTAAGTCCACGGAACCGCCTATCCATGTGCATCATGAAGAGAAGAAGTACTTTGTGAGATGCAAGCGCCCCCAAACAGACGCCGCACCGAAACGGGCACCAAAAGGTGCCAACCACACAAACCCGCCACCCCACAAAGGGAAGTGGCCGGCAACCAAGCAAAACAGTTTAAGGTGCATCAGCAGGACGAGGGTGATTAACCTCCCACATCCGAGATTGCACCTGCACCAGCCACGCTTGAATCTGATCAATGTTAGGAACAAATCCGATCTTCCAACCATACCGCGAAGTCAATTGATGCGCAGGCCGAGCCGGCAACAATTCAACTCCCGGGCGGTCACTGCAGGACCAAGCACAATGATCCCAGGTCCCCCAGTCCCCACACGCAACGGCTAGAAACTCCCGTCCTGCCCTGCAACATGAAAGGACTGACAGAAGCACCAACCGAGACAGTCCTGGCCTCAGGGCACGAAAGAGCCCAGGACCGGACCTGATCAACATCAATCTGACTGAAGGAGGCAAAAGGCTCCAAGTCAGCACAATGCGAATCATGCCGTTTGGCCAACGCATGCTGGCGCAGGCACCAAGCACGCCAACCCGAACCGAACGAGCCGCATGCGGAAGCAAGCGAACATCCCAAGCAGGATCATGTAAATCCAAAAGATCATTGGAGGCCTCGCACTTCCAAACAAAAGGACGCAGCAAGGTCCAACCACGATCAAGCAACCAAGTGTGAAGACAAGCCACAGGATGACCATGCGTCGACGTCCACCGCAACGGACCTTGAAGACGCAAGCGGCCAAGCAAGCCAACAAGGCGAACACCAAAAATGCAATCAGGATGCATATTCCCCCCCCAAATGACACCACGGAGCCCAGGGGAGGCCATGCGCAAGCGGCGAGAAGAACTGGAGACAGCAGACCACATCTTCTTGGAGTCCGTCAGATTGATCGATTTGGAAATCCAGCCCAAAGAGATGCGACTAGAAGCAAGCATGCGCACCGCAGACATGAACCGGACAAAAGGCAAGCGAATACAAGCAAGCAGCCTGATAATCCGAATGGAGGAATTGATCCGAGCGGCCTCCTTAGCCGTGATTTTGCGAGTTCCAAACCCAATGCCAACACCGAGGACGGTGGCCACAGAGGACACGACCCCAGGGAACAACGCATCAAGCCGAACCATGAGTTGACGAGAGCGACCCAACACAACCATCTTATTGACATTTTCAACTAAGCCAACAGAATTGGACCAAGCAAGCCACAAATCAACATGATCCCTAAGAGCGTCAGGGTCACTTGAGACAAGGGACCGATCATCAATGTAGAAACGAGACAAGACACGACCCAAACCAGGGTTAGCCAATCTTTGCACGTAGTTTGCCCCCGAAACCACCCACAGGGTCATAATTAAAGGACCAAGTGGGTCACCTTGGGGAAGAGCAGGTGCGGCCAACGGCCGTTCAAAAGTTTCAGACTGAAATTGAATCCACCTGCGCTGCGAAGACCACACATGAGCCAACACATTCACCAACCCCGAAGGCCAACCAAGATGCCTGAGCATAGCAATAGAGACAACCGGATGAAGGCGATCAAAGGCTTTTGAATAGTCAAGAGACACAAGACCACCCTGACAAGCAGTCCATTCATCCACAAGCTCGTACACACATTGTTCTGCCGAAACATTGTTTCCGACAGCAACCTCATGAGGCAGGAAGTGTTGAATCCAATGAACACACTCAGGGACCCGCAACACACACCCAATCCAAAGCCGCCACCAACACGAAAGGACGCTGATGGGCCTCAGGTCGGCCACAGTAGTGACCAAAGAAACGTCGACCTTGCCTTCCTTTGGTAGTAAAACCATCCGGCATTCCGAAAACTGCTCGGGCGCGGCCCCAGCAAGAACCCACCGACGAGCAAGAGCAGCAAACGCGTCCATGACAATGACCGGCAAAGACGCGATCTCACTGCCAGACCAAGAATCAACCCCGGCCGCACCTCTAGACCGTCGCGCACGCTCATAAAGTTGAGCCCCCGAGGGCAAGGACCAAGTCATTTCAGAGGCACCAGGCAGGTCACGCACCAAAGCGCTAATACGAGCATCGACAGACGGACAATCCCTTTCAGCTTCATGCCAAAAGTTGGACCAATAGTCATGAATCAACCGGCAAGCACCACTAGTCGAATCAGAACCTTGCACAAAACAAGCATCGCGCACACACTTGGAACGCAACCAGCAGCCCAAAGCTTTATCGTCATCGATCACGGCCTGCTTCCACGTGGCCAATCTCAAACGTTTGGCAGAGGCTTCCAATGACGAAATTTCCTGAGACAAATGAGAAATTTCGATTTCAATTTGCAGAATTGAAGGAACATACCCAAGGCAACGAGTCACCTTGGAACGCAGATTATCAAGCTCAAGCTGACGAGATTCCGAGAGACCCTCAGAGACAGCGCGCAAAAGACGACGGTACTCATACAACCGAGCAAGCCAATGCCGCCGCTTGCGGATATTGAGGCTCCCAATTTCTTGCCGAACACCACCTTTGAGTTGTTCCCGGCGAAACCGAGCCATGCAACCCTTAACACCGCGCTGAGCCAACATGCGATCACACTGTTTCGCAACATCTTCATGCAAGCCGTCATGGACACGAAGAGTCTCGATCGCCGTACGTAAGGACTCTTGTAAGACCTGTTGGAACACATCCCATTCAACCTGGACATCAAGACGGTCAGAAAGCAAAACCTGCGAGAGTTGATCAACACAAGGATGCCGAGACCAACACAACTCAACCACCTGACGCCAAAGATCCAAAGGAACACCCGAAGGCTTAACCCAGGAAGGACCAGACTGCAAAGTGCCACGCAACAAAGGACCAGCGGTCAACACCACATCAAAAGCAAGCGGGATGTGATCACTGATAGCCGTGGACAACAACCAAGGAACAGACGCATTGTGAGGGCAATTAGCCATGGCCCAATCCACACACCGTTCCCCTTTCCACCGAGTAGGAAGACCACAGGAACGCACCACGCCACCAAAGGATTCCATGACGGTTTCAACCACAGAACTCCCAGGAATTTCATTGAAATCTCCCACACAAAACCAAGGCTGACGCTGAGACATGCCAAGGGACATAAACTCTTGGGAAAAGACGGAAGCAAGATCAGAAGGGCCTAACTGCCCAGGAGAGCAATAGGCGCAACAAATCAAGCACCCGCCAATCCACACGCCAACAAGTTGAGACACTTCACCACAAGCAGCCAAGGCAGGTTTTTGAGGAAGAGACTGACGCACGAAAATGCCAACACCGCCATTAGGCCGCGAGTTGCCCCACCGCCCCACACTTTCAGCACCACTCTGGGTATAAAGGAAGTAACCAGCACGCCGTGCACGACGCCGCAAAGCAGCGATGTCATTATCTTTGGCACACAACTCTTGCACGCAAAGGACATGTGCATCATGATCCCAACAATTTTGCCCGTTGCGACACTCATCTATATATTCACAGTCTGCGTGCTATCTTTGCAACTTCAGATTCTTCAAAGGACCTGAATACTTCTGAGCATTATGCACTTTGTGTTTAGTTTAGATTCCACATTCTCTTTGAACTTTCCTCATTCCCTTCTCTAACTTTTGCTGCGCTGGCAATACCCAGATCATCAAAACCAGGAATTCTCGCCTGCACACCAGGGTGGGATGTTCGGCTCTGAGCACTGCGTCCTGATTTGGCACAAGCACCCAGTAGCGCTGATTGTTCCCCGACCTGTTGTAAGTTACATGGAACATGGTTGAACACGCTTGAACTATGATGATTGCGTGTGATTACATGATTACTGTACATGATGTTTTGACGGGCCGCCCGTGATTTTTAACTGTTGGACGGAATGTCAAAAGCTGATCGAAATGTTCATCTGGCCTGCCATCATCTGCGCAGCCTGGATGTGACTTGCTCCGAGTTTGGGAGGCTTAGATCTGAGAAGCTCAGCTGATGCTCAGACAAAGGTGACGAATCTTTAACTTTAGACATTGATCACGCGACACTGATCACACTCTCAAGCTTGCTGGGAGCACCGAGGGAAATTCAGGTGGCGGTTTCACCCAGGTCGTTTGCCGCGTAACGGCATGGTAGTAGTAGACCTGTGACACCGTCCACACCAAGCTAAGTGCCTTGAAGCAAGGTCTAAGACAGTTTATCATTTCAGTTCCGTTTATCAGCGTCTCATGTGAGTCTCATGTACTTGATTCTTTGGTATCCTTTCGCTCTTTCAAACTCAACCACGCACCCTTTACAACGGAGCAGCCTGTCCCTCCTTATTGCGAGCTTCTTTCCAGGGGGTGTCCTGCGTGCCCAAGGCTTTCGTTCTCTCATGTTCATTCGACAAGATTCTGGGTAGCGAAGACCTTGCACACTCCATTAGCTTAAGTCATTCTCCGCCCGGTGTCCTGGTCATTGGTACTTCGCACTTTTCCGAAGAGGCCCTCCCCCAGGGCCTTGTTTTGCACCCTAATCTGGCCCACTGGGCACGGCTGGACACAGCTCCCCAACAAAGAACATCCTCCATATGCTGCCCAAAGGCCACATCGATGACTGCACCAAAGACAGGTTTGCCGTCTAAACGATCTCGGGCAGCCTGTTGAACAGCCCACGCACACTCAGAGACACAGACACCCACCCACACACACACACACTTGCTCAGAAATATCTTATCGAATTACTGATGTGGAATGCATCGAACGTGCACAAACAATCCAGTACAGTCTGACAGGAGAAAATGGTTGATCCATCGTGAAATTCAGTTCGAGGTATGCTTTCTACGTCCTTGCTCTGAAGAAGGTTCTGATGCAACAGAACTCAAAAAATACCAGATTGCGACAACAGTGCAGAAAATGAAACGGTTTTGAACGACATGCCGGTACTTGGCTTAGCCGGTCGCCATTGACGATAAATTGGAAAATTGCAGGTACGCATGGCTGATCAGGCCATGTATCACCAGGGAAACCAGAGTGTCTTCGTTGGTGGTAGACTCTGGACCCTGCTACCACCCCCTGCATATATGGCAAGAAAATCTTGTTGAACCAACAACAAAAGCACAAAACAAACAGAAGGAAGTTTTACATCTGTGCAGATGGTCCACACACACAATCACACTTGCTCAGAACAATCATTGCGAATTCTGATGTGGAATGCATCTTACGTGCAAAAACACTCCAATTATACCTGACACGAATGGGTCGATGACAAGACCTGAGAAAGTATCGAAAAGGAACCATCGCCATAGCCATTGCTAGATGCAATAAATTGGAAGCTGACACTTCCCTTTCAACTAAGCCAAATCGTTCCCACCCTGACAGATTGCGAAAACCGTACAGGCGTTGAAGTGACATCAAGTGAAATCTGAAAGTTTGAGTTTGATTTGAAACTGTTTGAAAAAACGACATGCCGGTTCTTGGCTTAGCCGGTTGCCATGGACGAGAAATGGAAATTGGTGTAGGTACGCAGATTGGCGTCCCAAACTGTATCACCAGATCAAATTAAATGGGTGTCTTCGTTGGTAGCGGTCCCAAGTGATCTGCCGCTACTCCCTGCTACAAATCAAGTTAGAAGTTTTTCATCTATTCAGATGTTTCACACACACGCCCGGGAGCCGCGGGGCTTTTTAAGGCTCCGACAAATGAGATGAAGGTGAAAATGAAAGGAACATGGAAATGAGATGACGATGAAAATGAGATGACAATTACTTAACCGGAACACAAGAGGGGGAACGCAAAGAAGGAAAGGAAAAAGGGAAAACACCAACACCAACACACCTAGCCCAAAACAGGCAAACCCTGAAAGGGCAAGGGAAAAGAAAAAGCGGACAAACGACGGGCCAAACACCAACCAGAGGAGGGGGGACGGACAGAAGCGCCTGACACAACCTACAAGGCGAGAGCCAAAACCTACCTCGGCACGCGAAGGACCCAAACCTGACCTAGAGAGGGAGCACGCATGAGATAGGGGACCAATCGGGAACTAGTTGATGAGATTTGATGCATCCACAAGTCATGCAAATTTCGTGATAAGGCTCAAAGGGCCTCCGCAGTCAAGTCACAACCCTGTAAACGGCTTAAGTGATCAACCCTCGAATTACGTGCACATTTGAACCGTACCAACGACCATAAAAAGAAGAGTCACCATACCTGCAAGCATGGCCTGTGCCTGGAGTCCTCATGTCGCATCTGTCTGTTAAACTCTCGAGCAGCAATCAGGAGAAGTGTTGGCGTGGCTTCAGGCTACAACCTAGAAGCATTCAGAAAAGGTGAGTCCCTGAAAAGCGGGCAATTGTTCAACACGTCGACAGTCGGCAGGGTGAAAATCGAAAAATGGCCAGCTCTTTCACTTTACTTAAACGAATTACTAGGTTGAAAATTGTAAATTCAGAGATCAGGTCGAGGATTCACTCTCCTACCTGGAAAGGTATTCCCCGAAGCGCTCATGCCACCGTGACGAATCCAGCATGAATCACACACTTGCTCAGAACAATCATTGCGAATTCTGATGTGGAATGCATCTTACGTGCAAAAACACTCCAATTATACCTGACGCGAATGGGTCGATGACAAGACCTGAGAAAGTATCGAAAAGGAACCATCGCCATAGCCATTGCTAGATGCAATAAATTGGAAGCTGACACTTCCCTTTCAACTAAGCCAAATCGTTCCCACCCTGATAGATTGCGAAAACCGTACGGGCGTTGAAGTGACATCAAGTGAAATCTGAAAGTTTGAGTTTGATTTGAAACTGTTTGAAAAAACGACATGCCGGTTCTTGGCTTAGCCGGTTGCCATTGACGAGAAATGGAAATTGGTGTAGGTACGCAGATTGGCGTCCCAAACTGTATCACCAGATCAGATGGGTGTCTTCGTTGGTAGCGGTCCCAAGTGATCTGCCGCTACTCCCTGCTACAAATCAAGTTAGAAGTTTTTCATCTATTCAGATGTTTAATGTTTCACACACTTCCACACACATACACACATACACACACGCATATACTACACAACAAAAAGACAATCTCACTGAACAGGAGAACTTTGGTGCGAATCCACTCAGCCATTCAATGTGTGGATTCAGCTCAAATTATGCAGCCCCCTGTGAACTTTTGTTGTGCTGGAATGTGCAACTGGAGCATATCCGCGCAGCTTTTTCCCCCTTCTGCGTGAGTTCAAGCAACTCTCGAGTCCGACTTCCTTGCAGCTCAGTAGGTCACCAACAGGTTTCCCACAAGTCTTCAGCTGGGAAATTGGCACCCAGAGCACCTGAGCTTTCACTTCACAGGAGAGTACAAAAACGAAAAACATCAAAAATGTGCAACACACGTGCGACACCATGTGAAAGAAAACGTTGCCTGATACAGGCCGCGGCAGCTGTAATGCCAGATCTAACCGCATCCTGAGCTGCAGCGAAGTGCAATTCTACAGAGTGCAAAATTCAGGATTTGAAGGTACTTAACTTTAGGAGAAAATATTGAAAATGAGCAGACAGACCTTCAATTCGATAACAACGTTCACTTGAATCTGCAAATGCACTTGACACTGGACACTACACACGATTGGGAGAGAACACTGAAAGGACTATATAACCATCCGAAGTCCGAGCCCCATTTGATTCAAAAATACGCCTTTTTGCAAAATGCACATTTAGTTCTGAAAATGAGGACTGTGAAAATTCCACTGGGTAGTTTCTGCATTCGCGAGACAAGGACCCACAGTGTGGGTAATGGATGGACTCAAAAACATGATCTATGATGAAGGGCCACGATGATTGGACCAGTGATCTATCCAACAAAATAACATTTCTTGAGTAGTGAGGCTTTCATTTGCAAGAAAACGAGAAGGTTTCACTGGCTAAAGGACAGTAATGAACCTCCCAAATTTGAGGTTCCCATGGCACTCTGCCCCAAACGGTAAGTTGCCTGTATGTCTGCATCTTTGAGGTCATCCACAAGAGGAGTGTCCTGCAAACTTGGAAAGCCAACGCGACACAAATGGAATGAGGACTTGGAAGCAAAGTTCTGCCATGTGTTCCATTGTTTTCCTGCTGCGCACTCTCTACTGCAGAGACAATCAGCCAATTGGCAAGTAACGTTCCCGGTAGGGATTGTGGCCAAATCTCAACTGCTCTACAGAGTTCTACAGAGCCAAAGACTAGCTACTTGCGCTGAAGAAGTTCCACCATGCGCTTGCAAATATAATTCTCACATGTTTGCACGCTCACAAATCTCACGGTGTTATTGTGCTGCAGAATTTCGATGTTTTGGATCGCAGGTCAGAGACCAAAACGAGCTGTCAGGTGGTTGGGAGGTACAGTTCGGCCTTGATCGCGCCTTTAGATCAAATCAAACCGCCCACCCCTTTTCTGATCCCGGAAATACCTCAATGTCTTCATATGTCTTCAAAAAAAGACGTTACATACAAAATCCCAAAAGAATATCAAACCCTATAGCGGAAGCAACGCCATGAGCACAAGACCCAAAAGCTGCAATCCAATTCAATTTAAAGTCCGCCACTGAACGTCACTTTCCAAATCGGACAGGGCTCTTCAGATTCATCAAAAAGAAAACATGCAACATCACAGAAAATATTTGGAAATATACCGGAATATTGCAGACGTGCTGTTTTGCGGAATATTGCAGGCGTGCTGTCTTGCAAGGCTTTCTTCATCTATGCCAGCTACGCACATACCCTGAACTAAGCTCGTGTCAGGGTTAAAACATGTGTGCAAAAGAAGATGCTGAGTGTTTATGTTTGTTGCAATTGCTGAAAGCAAGCTGAAACATGACTCAACCATTCAATACACCGTAGACCAGGACTTCCACTTTTTGAGCCAGAGGAATCTTCACCAGCTGTGCCACAAGTGAATCGCAAAGAACTGTGCCATACGGCCATACTATGCCATACTGATTCTAGATGATTGTAGCTGTTTCTGTGAAAACCTGTGCCAAAAGCTCCAGAAGCTCCTCTAGCTTCCGTTTTCGCCCTTCTGGAGCCGAGGGAGAAGGGCTCCCTGCTTCCTGTGCCAGCACCTTGGATGAAACTGTCAAGCCAGCCCACGGAGTAGAAAAAGATGGGGCTGCACTCACACCAACAGGTTACCAACATGAGTCTCCCTCATGCTGGGCTGAGCCATAGCTTGAGATGTCAATGATAAATGGTTCAACACATTCATCGTTCTGTTGCCGGAAAATGCAAGTCGAACTTTCGCAACAGGTTGCTCTAGCTACAGAACAAGACCAGAAAGCGACAGTTGGATCTTATCGTCTGAAATAAAGTTGAGATGATTTGCGAGGTAGGACACAAGTCGCAAGCGGGCAAAGTGAAGCAGTGAAGTCAGAAAAAGAAACACTAACATCTGCACACTTCAACGCACCCACAAGAAAACGCGCAACAAAAGTGGTATGTAAAACCTACTTCCAACTTTTCGCGCTGCGCACCCTTTGAATTGCATTGAATGCATTTTGCAATGTTTTGCAGCCATTTGAAAAACAAAGAAACCAATAATTACCGATCTTAATTTCTGTTTTAGACTACTGTAATTAGTCTGAATAGTGGTGTAGGGACACAAGCTTTGTTAGGTTTTCCGACGTTTCAAAAATTCTCAAGGCTTGGAAGCTTGGCCGGCCAACTAAGCTGCGCACGTGCAGCGCTTGCCAAATTGACTCTATGAATCCGCCCATGAAAGCGTCGCCGGCCCCTCAGGCTTCAGCTGTCATACTTGAGGTGCATTAGCATCACTGTCAATTCAGTCGTTAGGCAGAAGCATCTCCCGTCACAGACCTGCCCTTGAAACATTCCGAACTACTTTCTGCCACTTTCTGCCACTTTCTGCCATGCTTTGAGATCGCTGCCCACGTCATCCTTGAACTCCTGCCATTCAAGGCCCAAAAACTGGATGTTTAATTTATTCTAGCTATTCTAGCACCGAAGCAACTGTGTTTAAATAATTCTTGCCAAGCTAACGTATATTTATATAAACTCGTCATGTTTTGTACCAGTGGTAAGAGCCTCAGGTGGCACAGGTGGCACTGGAAGGGATCGGACCTGCGAATCCTGGGCGAGAAAGATGAAAAATGGCCATGACAACATGCTGACACTGTATCCACTGTATCCACTGACTTATTCTGTCTGACACTTATTCTGACACTTCAAACTAGGCATCCAGCAGCCACACCGATATAGCCCACACCTCTGCTGCCACGAGTTCCAATCATCCATCCGCGCTCTTTCCATCTTGCAATGACCTGAGTGATGATGATTCTGCAGCCACTAGAGTGCACACTCAGCAATCACTTCGTAGTCACTTTCATCCATTTCCAAGTACGAGACAAGCATAGCAGCATCATAGTCTGATGGCGCAGATTGACGAGCTGCCTTGCTCGACAGAACCAGAATTGAGTCAGGAGGTGTGGTGCGATGCAGGGAGCTGGGCATGCAACTTTGCAAATCGTCGATGCCAAATGCAGAACTTCAGCTTCGTTTGCAAATGTAAAGTCTGCTGCACGAGCTGTCGCCTGAACGCCGACTGCAAACATCTGCAGACATAATTTGCATCAATACCCCCTCTTGATTCACATGGCCCAGGAAATACTAAAATTCATACCTTACACGAAGTACCGTGTCATGGAAGTAGACCCGTGGACAAACTGGCATCTCAAAATACCCTCCAAGTGATTGAGGTATGGTTGGTTGCTTGCATGGTTGCTTCAATAATCCAAGTTTTTTTGTCATGTCCACACCTGCAAGGAAAACCTGTGCGAAATCTGACTCAAATGAGTTGCAACAGTAAGTGCAGCCTGATGCAACTACCGGGTATGCACAACTTATCACAACGTGCTTGCTTCCACTTGTTTCCCAAAGCACCTGCACAGGCTCCAGCTCAGTGCACCATTCTGCCCCGACAGTCATAGCCAGGGCCGGAATGATGTGGCCTATTGCAAGGGCCGCAAGGGTATATCAAACATAAGCAGCTCACTGCGTGAAAAAGATGTAAATGAACTAAAATGATGCACGAGCAAAATTCAGTTGAACTGCCAAAGCTTCGTCCATTTCGTTTCGCATGCAATTGTTCCTCATATTTCGTCCAGCAGTTGGACCTCCAATTTTTGTGGTATGGTGTGTAGAGCACCAAGATCGAATCGCTGCAACTCCTGACAACTTCCATAGAACACAGTTCTTGCAGTTGAAAGTGCATGAATTGACTAGAATTTGATCATCAAACAATTCATCCATGTCCCCATATTGTATTACAGCGGCTTTAAAAGACGTGATTTCAAAATCTCGCCGTCCTACAGACACAAACACTAAGCAGCCATAACGTCCTTCTGGATCTGCTTGCGCGTAAAACCTGACATGTCTTAAGGATATTATAATCTATGATGCAAGAGAAGCCGGGTGAAGAGCTTGGCTTCATTGCAGTTGTCTTTCCGGAGCCGCTCTTAATTTCGAGTCATGCGATAGTTCTTTCAGGAACCAATGTGATTTGTGTTTGTGCACTGTGAGGAGGGCATACATGAGAATTCGAAAAGCTCGGAATTTCCCAAGATTGCCTTGTGAAGCTTCCCGATGAACAAACAGACTCCCAGAGCATGTTTGATCTCAGCAGTCTTAGCCGTCTTAGCATGCTTGTTGTTCGTGGTTGTCGTCTCTGCATGTGACAAGAACGCTGCAAGCACAAGACATGGCGCCATACAGATCATACAGCACTCCTTTTGAGCAAATTAGGAAGGAACTTCTTGGCATCAAGCACCACGCCCGTGCAAATGTGCTGTGCACCAGCTCGGTGCAGCTGATGTGGTGTTTCTGTTAGCACCACTGCACCACTCCGAATTGAAACAAAAAATATTTCAGATCCACTCTTCCTCTTCACAAAATGAACAAACAGGTCAGCCATGCCCGGAAACCAGGACCACCTGGGACGATGATCTGCCAACGCGCTGAGCCCTGCATATGTATATACAGGATCATATGGCCAAGTTGGCTTCAGCAAACTCGACGGTGAGACCTTGATTTGCGTTGTCAGTACCAAGTCCCTTCCACTATCTGAAAATAAATATTGAGGTAGCGGTTCAAAGTACTCGAAGTGCAAACTAGCGTCTCATTCAGCTCACATTGCTGATGGAAAGGTGAAAGCACCTATACTCTGACTTCCGAATCTGATCACCACAGTGCTTGGATAGGTTTGGCTTCTATTAGGTAGTTCACATTTCTCAGAGTTTGTTTTGATCTGTTTTTGTGGACGCTGCATGGTGGCCTTGGAGTTCTATTCGTGCCTAATGGCAATGAAGACTGCCCCATGGCGGCACTTTGCTAGGTGTCTTTTGGCTTCATCAAACCGGCATCCTATAAAGCCGTCTGGACATCGTGTCCTGGCACTTCCGCGTGTCGAAATCTTTGAATTGACCCATAGTCCCATAGTGTGTAGGGGAACTAACGTCTTCCTGAGCCCACTCTGAAACAAAGTAATGTAGCTCTTGCACTCGCCATCCATGCAGCATGAAGAGTTGGCTGCTTTGGTATAATCCACAGAAGCAATTCAAATACAACGTACACACTCAGCAAAATCCGCACATGGAGTGAATCTCTCAGATCAGCACGCAAGGCTGCACACCAGCAAGGGAAGCCTGCGGAAGGCCAGGGCATCGTTTGATGTGGGACAGCACAACCCAGCTCTTTCCATATGACTCTTGTCTTTGACTCCCACCTGCAACAAATTCATTCTCGAATCAAAGGATTTGCATTCTGACCTTGGTGGCTGAAAGATGCGGCAAGTCTGGTCTTGTCGTAAAGAAACCCAAAACTCTTCCGATAACTGGTAGTGCTGTCTGCGAATTTTAAGGTACCTCATGACTGTAGTGAGCCTGTTGTAGCTAAGGTTGACAGCTGTTGAAATGCTCTGATGAACCGCCATGAATGCAACCACGGAAAAAATGCAGCTTGAGCCGCGTGCGTTCCACGCAAGTGGAGTGTCTTGCTTGCACCCAGATGTGTCAACATCGTTCGGGCCTTTCAACACTGCAAGTATGAAATCTTTGAAATATAGTTGTCCAAGTTGTCCAAGAGCATTGGAGCAGTGAAAGTGATATGCCTTCTCAGCCAAAAAGCAGCAGCAGGTGCCTTACTGATCTTGGGAGTATGGATGCTCGCCATTGGGAACGACCACACTGCCACTGGAACGGTGTTTACATGACCAAATGGATAAAGAAAAGCTGGATAAGGAGTAGGCAACACATATAAACATGGATATAGATATAACCGATATATATATATACATATATACACATACATATATTAATTATACGTATTCATCAAGTCTTGTGCAGAAAAAGCTCTCCGATTCTTCGCACTCCCCGCATGTCTTCCCCAGCCAGCTTGGTAATGTTGCGCTATGTTGCGCTCTGCTCCCATCAAAGGGAAAAGGATGGAAAAGGATGATAAGTCAATGAATGTCAATGATAAGGCTTGCGGAGCAAAAGACTGAACAAAGAACAAATCAAGAGCAAACACAGAGCGGTCTCAAAAACGCCTAGAGAATCTGAGCAGTCAACCAGTAGTCGACTCAGCATCATTGTCAGCTGCACACCTTCCGATGGTGTAGATTTCAAATAGTCGACAATTGTGACTCACGATTCGGGATTTGTGGCAACTGATGGTGACTAACTCTGACTACTAAGAACCCCTGCACACTTGGGCTCGGCCTCGCTTCATCGAACATTGGCTCCACTTGAGATGCTGAAATTTCTTTCTGGAGCCTGTCAGTCTCCAGGCTGTAGCTGTGACTGTGTGTCCAACAATCCTTTGGCAACTCATACCACATACATCCACATACGCCAAATCAGATTCAATCCTGACGACGTTTTCCCATGATAAACTGGCAGCTCCGCAACCAAGAACCCTTTGACTTCGAACCAGTTCGTGAAATATGTCGTCAAACACTCAGGAAGGACTTGTTTGGGTGAAGAATACAGTGCTACACAGCGTGTCCGATTGATGCCTCTTTCCAGCAGCATCCTGGCCTATCCTTCCTAGGCGTAGGAATCAATTCGTATCGATTCTTTGTTTCCAAGTCATTTCCAAGATTCGTATCGATCTTCCAAGTCATTTCAGTACTGAGTTGTACTGAGCATGATGCCAAGCATTACCCTCCTGGGCGCTGTTGATGATTTTTGTCGCTTCAGCCTTGTTGATTGGGCTGTCAAGTTCAGGTCTCACACCACAAGAGGCATTGCGGTGTCTACTGAGCTGGCCTGAAAAAGAACGTTACACCTTGCAATTCACGCGCATCTAGGAAAGGCAACTCAACTACGCGAGCTTGCAAGGTGCCGTCCTTGCTCAAAGTTCATGCTGGTTTCTCGCATCTTGGCAGAGTTCTCAACTGCGAAGAGTTTGTGGAGAGTTCTAAGAGCACTGGTTTTGTTGTTTCTGGCAGACCAAAGCTGCTCAACATACCTGAACCCCAGTCACAAGGTGAGTACAGAATCTAAGCGCCTAAGTGCCAAACCACCAACTGCCTGCACGAAGACTGTTCGCGATAACACCACCAGGAGTTGCACTCGCCTGATCAAAGGCACTGCTCACGGAACCTGCACGGAACCTGCTCACGGAACTTTTTTGTAAGGAGGCTGCCTTTCCAGCTTCAACGCTTGCCAGAGCTTCTTTCACAAGAGGCATATGCTTTTCCTGCACAGCACAAAACACTGCCATTTGCAAAGCTCCCTGCGAATCCGCAGAAATCAAGGTTTTGACACAGCAAGACAGCTGAATTCACTGTGCAGCACCAGCCTCAGCAAGACATTGTGAAAGGGGTTGTATCTGAGACACACAAGAAAAGCATTGATAAAAGCTATGTCAATAAGCATGTCAATATCACTTTCAATATCTGTCAAGTTCCTCTTTGAACTTCACAGAAGGACCCATGTCTCTGCCTGGTGCCTTTCGAGGATCTTAGGATCATCATCGATTGGCACCAGAACGTCCTGCGCAAATTCAGAATCATATGGTATGTGACATTTGTATATGATTGTATATGTACATGTGCATGTATATTGTGTATATATATACACAAAATTTGTGTTGTGTTCTTCATACGTACATTGACTCTGCAGGTCTGAAACGCCATCAGCAAGTAGTATATGTGGAGTATGTCCAGCAGCACTTGGTCGATGCCGATGAGCATACCCGAAGAAGTCCAAGTTGTTTTGTAAAGTTGTTGGTGTTGCGTGATTTTACATCCAGATTTTTGTCCGATGTCAACCGGAACACAAAATTGCTCGGATTGAGTCGGAAGCCCAGAAAGCTGTGGAACTGATCTGATTTTTTAATGTGGCTTTGGGTGTTCAACAAGCACACTTTGGAACCCGGAAGCTTTGCTACGGATACTGCGTGCTTGACTGATGAACTTACTGTTGCTCTTGATGCCCTTCACAATCATTTCATATTTCAATGTGCATGGGGTCTGCATCTATCATTTGCTGTCCGTATTCTGCAGCGCTTGTTTTGAACCAGAAAAGACCCGGTCAAGAGTGCATGCACAGAATGCAAACAGCTCCAGCTCAAACAAGTCCGTCCACAAGAAAGTCCCTGGTAAAGCTATTTTATGCTATTTCTGTACTTTCGGTACTTTCTGTGATGTCTATTGGGTTTGATGATCAAATGTGACTTGCAAACACCAAGCCAAGCCTTTGCAATTTCAGGGGTGGCGAAGGCCACGATGGCCCAGCCAGGGCCATCTGGGTCCGCAGGTGTGAAATGGACCTGGGTTTTTCGAGCGTTTGCTCGTCAAAAATTCTACTCCTCTTCTCCTATGTGACCGCACTTCAACCCGTCTCACTGAATTCTCAAGAATTGTGTATGTGTGTATATTATATATATATATGGTCCCGTGTCCCGTGTTCCCACCCCCCCCCCATGGGATGGGGGGGGGTATGATGCCCCTGTGATGGTGTATATACATACATACATACCTACATACCTACCTACCTACCTACTTACATACCTACGTACATACATACATACATACATACCTACATACCAACATACCAACATACCAACATACCAACATACCAACATACCAACATACCAACATACCAACATACCAACATACCAACATACCACCACCACAGGCCACAGGGGGGGGGACCAGAAGAACCATACCACCACCACAGGCCCACGGGGGGGGGGACCAGAAGAACCATACCACCACCACAGGCCACAGGGGGGGGGGGCCAGAAGAACCAGACGATACTGTCCACCCATACCCATTGGTGGGGGGGGGGGAGGGGGGTGGCCAACGCTGCACCATATATATGCACATAGACATACATACACATATGTGTATAACTCACGAAGTTTGTCCTTGCGCACCTGCAAAATTTCGTCGGGTCTGCCAGCTGCAGCAGATATCTGGCCAGTTGTCAGTGTCCAACCAGACCGATTGTGAATTCAGCTGCTGCGAAACGAAACAGTACAACAGTGTTACAACCTGTTACAACAAATTCTTCTTGCTCCGGTGGTCGGATCGCCTGCTGTTCACTTGCACCCTGTGGTATCTTTGACAAGATCACCTAATATGCAAGCACAGTAGGTGCAGGGTGGGCACCTAATGATACCAACTGGCAATGACTTGAAAGGTTTAAAAGAGATTGAAACAGGGGACCGAAGGGGACCGAAGGGGAGACCGAAGGGGAGCGAAGGGGAAAAAATATAAAAAAGTTGATTCAGTGAAGTTTTCTAAACTAATATCATTGCAGTATAGCAAATCAAAATTTATTCATAAAAAAAGAAACATAACAGTCCAAAAAGTCAGTTTAAATATTGTTGATTACTTCGTTTTTCTCAACAATATCAAAACATAATTACCTCATTCAATTTTTCAAAATCATAGCAGTCAAAGCATACTTACCTCATTCATTTTTCAAAATCATAGCAGTCAAAACATAATTACCTCATTCAAATTTTCAAAATCATAGCAGTCAAAGCATACTTACCTCATTCATTTTTCAAAATCATAGCAGTCAAAACATAATTACCTCATTCAATTTTTCAAAATCATAGCAGTCAAAGCATACTTACCTCATTCATTTTTCAAAATCATAGCAGTCAAAACATAATTACCTCATTCAATTTTTCAAAATCATAGCAGTCAAAGCATACTTACCTCATTCATTTTTCAAAATCATAGCAGCCAAAACACAATTACCTCATTCAATTTTTCGAAATCATAGCTGTCAAAGCATACTTACCTCATTCATTTTTCAAAATCACAGCAGCCAAAAGCATTACTATCTTATTCATTTTGCAAAATCCTATCCATCAACCGTTCCTAAATTCCTTTTATGCTTCTCTGTTTTCAAATGTCTTGAATAACATTGTGCCTTCATTGATGAATTACACTTCATCTTCTTCATATCTTTTTCTTTGAATCTCATTTCGTTTATGTTTATGTTCGTGATAACTGGTTCTTTTATCTGATAAGCACATTTTACAAGTTTTTAGCCCTTCATCAAAATTATCAATGTCCATAGTTCTTTCACACATTTTACAGGTTTTATCCTCCATATATCTTAAAACAATCGTTTTCTTTATGTTTTCAGATTTGTTATGGAATATATTTTATTCATAGAAAATCACATCATCACCTCATCCATTCCATACCCAAGATAAAACAACAAAACGAAAAACAAAAAAACACCCCAACAATATAAAAACAAAACAATGGACGCTTTGCCAGAAGTCTCGCGAGGCATCCGCGACAACAATAAATATAAACCCCTACCCTTTAATAATCCTATCTTTTCCATAAATCTAAATAGTATTATTAGAATCTGAGAAGGGGGGAACGAAAGCCAGCATCCCATCTACCCCTATTTTCCACCATACTTTTCACCCAGAGACTCTTCAATACATTTCACCCATATACTTTTCACCCAGAGATTTTTCACCCAGAAACTCTTCTTGCACAGACTTTTCACCCAGAGACTTTTCACCCAGAGACTCTTCACCCAATTTTTTTCTTGCACATACTTTTCGCCCATATACTTTTCACCCAGAGACTCTTCACCCAGAAACTCTTCTTGCACAGACTTTTCACCCAGAGACTCTTCACCCAGAGATTCTTCACCCAGAAATTCTTCTTGCACAGACTTTTCACCCAGAGACTCTTCACCTAGAAACTCTTCTTGCACATACTTTTCACCCATATACTTTTCACCCAGAGACTCTTCTTGCACATACTTTTCACCCATATACTTTTCACCCAGAGACTCTCCACCCAGAAACTCTTCTTGCACATACTTTTCACCCATATACTTTTCACCCAGAGACTCTTCACCCAGAAACTCTTCTTGCACATACTTTTCACCCATATACTTTTCACCCAGAGACTCTTCACCCAGAAACTCTTCTTGCACATACTTTTCACCCATATACTTTTCACACAGAGACTCTTCACACAGAAACTCTTCGTGCACATGTTTTTCACCCATATACTTTTCACCCAGAGACTCTTCACCCAGAAACTCTTCTTGCACATACTTTTCACCCATATACTTTTCACCCAGAGACTCTTCACCCAGAAACTCTTCTTGCACATACTTTTCACCCATGTACTTTTAACCCAGAGACTCTTCACCCAGAAACTCTTCTTGCACATACTTTTCACCCATATACTTTTCACCCAGAGACTCTTCACCCAGAAACTCTTCTTGCACATACTTTTAACCCATATACTTTTCACCCAGAGACTCTTCACCCAGAAACCCTTCTTGCACATACTTTTCACCCATATACTTTTCACCCAGAGACTCTTC